TATATATATATATATATATATATATATATATATATATATATATATATATATATATATATATATATTGTTTCATTTTTGTTGTTAGATGTATTTTTGTCATTTATTGTATTTTATGTGTTTATCGAAATATTTTTTTTAGGTGAGGATTTATTGAAAACATGATCTCTATCCCATAAAAATAAAAACAAAATCGGACCGATCTAAAATTCATTCTAGACATATTAATCTTTGGTTTTTATATTAGTATAATGGGTTAGCAAATGAAATTATAATAATTTATATAAATATATAAATTTCTTAGTGTTAGCCATCGATGTGGTACAAAAAGTACCAAAAGAATTACACTAATTTTGGGGATTTTCTTCCATTTAGGTGCGTCCAATCAGAGTGTAATCCCGTATAGATTTGGTGCGTTCATATACGTTTATTTCAGATCCATAGAGTCAAAATTAAATATAATTTACTCAATATATTGTATTTAAGTGAATGCACATGTATATGGTTGTCTCACTCTCCTCTCTCCTATCTCACTCGTCATTCCTCTCTCACACTGCCTCTCTTCATGTCTGGTATCTCTATTCAGTGTTGTTTTATACATTAGGAGATGATTCACATGTATCTACGGACCTCGTTCGCCTCCGACCACTACAACAAAAATAACTTTAAATGACAATAAATAGACTCGTTAACAGAGTGCTAAAACAATTTACTGACATTAGTTAATTTTCATTTGATCTCGTGTCGCTATAAACTTTAGAGAAATTTACAACGAGTACTAATTGTCTCTAAAAGTCATTTTGACGTAGTGTCCCTACTATCTCACTCGTCCTTCTCCCTATATTCGATAGCAAAAATATATGTATATAAATATTTCTAACTTAACATATTTTATATAATTATTAAGTTATGATAATATGTAATTATTTCTAATTACAAGAAAAATTAATAAATATATAATTAGGTAGTTTTTCCTAAACCAAATTGAATAACTACACGTAAAATTTTACTCTACCGCCTAAGTTTAACAAGTACCAATTCTATAAAGATTCTTTTTTTTTTTAATAAACCAATTAAAAAAAGGGAAGTGGTAAACCAAAAAATTTATAATCACCCTATAAATACACTACTTTTGCTAACACATTCTATTATTTTCTTGACAATTTAGTTAAATTTTTATTCTGCAAAATATCAATGGCTTCAAAAAAATTGATCTTGAAATCATCAGATGGTGATGAATTTGAGATTGAAGAATCGATTGCGGTTCAATCTGGAACGATAAAAAATATGGTTGAGGACGATTATACCCTCATCCCATTGCCTAATGTGAATACTCAAAAACTAATTCTAATTATCGAGTACATGAAAAAGCATGGAGAGAAGACGGATTCAAACGAAGAAGAAATTAAGGAATTTGATAAGGAATTTTTGAAGGATAAGAGATACAATGACATGTTTGATCTTATCGTTGCGGCAAATTATCTTCACATTATCGATTTGATGAATTTGATATGCCAAACGATAGCCGATCGAATTAAGCACAAGTCTGTAATTGCTATTCGTCAGATATTTGGTATTACCAATGATTTTACTTCAGAGGAAGAAGAAAATATTCGTGAAGAAAATAAGTGGGCACATGAAGGAGAAGAAATTGATGAATCTCTTGATTAGATTTGTTTATGATTTTTAGGTTTGATTTAATTTAGTGGGTTTAACTATTGTTTATTTTTTTTGGGTCTAGGGTTTTCAGCTTTAAGCTATTGTTAGATTTTTATTAATTATTTTGTGTTTTAATATCTATACATAATTTCTGATTTCGAAAATTAAAAAAATATATATATAATACTGTCCCATTAACAATTTAAAAAAATTATCTCAGCCTTTCTCATGCTTCGTTAATTAATGACTTTATTATTTTATGGATATTGATTAATCACTTCCTTGTTTTATACGTGCATAAATAAATATGTGAGTTGGAAAGCAATTAAGAACGTAAATTACAATTCAAGTATATAAGTATAAGAATTCAATTTAAGATTTAAAATTTAAACTCAAGAATTTACGATTTTAACTCAAGAATATACGCTTAAAAATTTAATGTAGGGGTGTGTATTATTCGGATTAAATCAAATCAAATTTTAAATTAATTCTGATTTAAAAAAAATCGAATTGTATTTATGTGTGTGAAAAATGTGTGGGTTTGAAATTAAGTTGGATTTAATTGTTTTTATCCCTTTAATGATTAGACATCTATCACTAATATACTTATAAGAATTGCGTTTTAAGTTTTATTTATGATTTATATTAAAAAATATTTAAGAGATTCATCACTATATTTTGTTAATTACGATTCTCAGTTAAATGTTAGAGGGAGGAGAGAAAAGACAGAAAGTGAAGAGATGTGAATTAATGTGTGTATATATCTGTCAAATAATTATATATATGTAACTAATATATACACATTCATTGCTCTTAATAATGACAATAATAAGCGGATTAAATTTCATTTTCTAACATTATGATATTGTTGTTTTTAGCGATTACACATCTTTTTTTTCTTGAAAGTTTATTAGGTTAGTAAGTGCATAGCTAATTAGTAGCCTCATGTCAAAGATTTTTTTGTTTTGAAATGCAAAGTTATTTATGAAAAAACTTTATTTTTTATGGTCTTCGATTCTCTCCGTATACTTATATAGCCACTCAAAAATAATTTAATTATACTTCATAGCTATAGTTTGCTAGTTATGATTCATAGCTACATGTTAGAGAGATGAGCGAGACGAGTGAGTGAGGGCAGAGAGTGGAGAGACACGAATTGTATGTGTATATCTTTCAATAATTATATACATGTAATTGATATACATATGTACTTTATATCTGAAGAGCGAGTTTGGGCAAGGGAGGAAAGAGGCTAGCAGAGTGAGAGACAAAGGAAAGAGGCGAGCGCGAGAGGACAGAGATTTATTCGAGATCTTTTTTATATAATAAAAAAATTATTGCATTATGTTTCATATTATTTATATATTATATTGTATAAATTACTTTAGTATTATTTTACAGAAATATTTTTGTAGGATTAAGCAAGAAGTAAGAATTAAAGATTTAGACCTCCCAAAGATATAACAAATATTTTTTTTTCTTTTCTTAATTTACGTATTATTTTATTTTATTTATATTTTTAAATACTTTGGAGTATTATAACCAAAAGAAGGATAATAGCTAAGATTGAACCCAAAAAATAGGAAACAAATAACAAATAATTATTCTTTTCAATATTTTCAACAATATTAATCTATGTAAATAATACTGATTGAAAATTTGAATACATACATTTTAAATAATCAAATTAAAAATATAATTAAAGTTTACTTATTAGATGTTTAAAATAGTTTCTCTATATAAAATAATTTTAATATTAAAAACACATTAATACTTGCCCTTTTCATAATTTGACTCTCAATTTTTTTTAAAAAAAATTAGTCAAACACAAATTACCTATCAAAAATACTTTTCAAATGAATTTATCAAACACATTATTTTTTTTCAAATCACTTTTATGAAAAGCTATTTTGTAAAAACACTCCTAAAAATAAACAATAATTGCAATAAAATATAAAGATTATTTTACGTTACTTAGTAAATAGAAGTTCAAATATATTTTATTGTTATACTTGAATATGCAAAACCAATAAATTCGGTTCCCTAAACCAAATTGAATTATTGAATAAATTTTACTCTACCGCCTAAACTTTATTAATTAATTAATACAAATTCTATAAGGATTCCTTTTGTTTTTTTATAAACCAATTAAAAAAAGGTAAGTAGTAAACCAAAATAATTAAAAAATCACCCCTATAAATACACCAATACACACAGCCTTTTCTCTACACAATTTAATTAAATTTTTTATTCTCCAAAAGTTCAATGGCTTCAAAAAAATTGACCTTGAAATCATCGGATGGTGATGAATTTGAGATTGAAGAATCGATTGCGGTTCAATCTGGAACGATAAAATATATTATCGAGGACGGTTATACCCTCGTCCCATTGCCTAACGTGAATACTCAAAACCTAATTTTAATTATCGAGTACATGAAGAAGCATGGAGAGAAGACGGATTCAAACGAAGAAGAAATTAAGGAATTTGATAAGCAACTTTTGAAGGGTAAGAGCTATCAAAACATGTTTGAACTTGTAACTGCGGTAAAATATCTTGATATTAGCGATTTGAATGATTTGTTGTGCCAGACGATAGCCGATAGAATTAAGAACAAGTCTTTAAATGCTATGCGTCAGATATTGGGTGTGGTGAGTGATTATACGCCGGAGGAAGAAAAAATGCATCGTCAAGAATATAATTGGGCTTATGAAGGAGAAGACATTGATGAATCTCTTGATTAGATTTTTTTAGGTTTTATTTAATTAATTAATTTTTTTTGATCTTAGGGTTTTGAGTTTTATTGTTGAGTCTAGAGCTAATGTTGATTTTTATGTAATTATTTTGTCTTTAAAATTTTT